TTTTACCAATAGGAATCCTCAGACAAGGTTCTATTAACACCTATCATCCCTGAACCTTTCAAAAAATAAACACGTAAAATCACTTTGCACCTTAGTCAAATGGCGTGCTTCTGGAGAGAAATCGGGAAAGTCAAAGTTATTAACACTGCCTATGGCAACAGTTAAGAATAGGATACGTGAAAAAATAGAATGACATATCTGGTTAAAATGGCAAGGGGAGTTCTAGGAGCAGAATACAGTGCATCTGTACAGGACACAGAGGCCAGTGGCCTATTGTTTACAAAAACAGGCCCAGATTATGAACAGTGACAAGAGGCCAAGACCTCAATTATAACTCACAACCACACCTCTCCCAATCCCTGTTCAACTGAAGCTATCAATCAATCAACTCCCCAATCTCTGTAATAAACCCACCAATATTTGCAGCCCAGTGGATAGAAGGTCCCTCAGGGCACCTCCAGCAATGACCAAGCTGATGACATTAAAAAGACCCTACAGGCAAAATGGGGACTTCAAACTACATTCCAACCTTCCAGGAGATAAGGCAGCTGCCCATTTCAAGCTCTACACTATCCCCACCCCGGGCAATCATTAGAAAGGAGACATGGCCCTTCCCAAGTCCTCTATGATAGGAAAAGGTCTCCTTGCATTGGTGCAGGGAAAGAAGGAGGGGCCCCTCCCTCTGTACTCTGAAACAAAGGAAAACCCAGAGCTCCAACCATGTGGTGTAACATTCAAGGCCACCCACCTCTCCCACTCCCCAGCTGAAGTCTCAATGGACTAGAGCACATGGCTCTTTCCAGTGACTGGCCAGGAAGGAACAGTGCCCTGCACAAACACATCCTGGGGTGCTTTAACAGGCAGGGGCCCCTCTTATGGGGATGACTGCTTGAAAAAGGTTATCTGGGAAGAGGTTCTGATTCATGTGCCAGGTCAGCTAGTCAACCAGATGTGCAGACAGGGTCACTCGGTTTCTCCAGGTCCACATTTTGCTTTACCCTTCACATTTTGGCAGACGGAAGTGGGCCTTTAAAAGCATGCTTTCTGGAGCAGAGGGTGACCACACAGAAGGGTTAAACAATTATGTCTTCCCATTCTCCAGAACCAGCACCACCCAGCAACCCTAACATCTCAACTCCATTCATGTTTAGGTGAGGGCGGAGGCGGGGTGTGAAATGACCTTATTCTTTCTGTTCTCCCATCTCTTGACTGAATGCAGGGCAACCAGAGACCAGATAGGTACAAGGTGCACCCAAGGTGGCTACAGACTTTGTGTCTGATGCCATGGCAAATGTCACCTTTTGATATAGTGCAGCAGGAAAAAAAAAAAAACCCCGCGGGGCGGGGGGGGGGCTCCTCAAATGGTATACCTCCTCAAGGTTGCCTTTCTCTACGAGGACTCCTCTTCAACCTTGGAAATAAATTCCCAAACACCTGTCAGATTTCAGTTGTCCTTCAAGGAAACCTGACCCAGACACCCAGAGGCAAATTGCCGCCTTTCTCTCTCCAAGAACCTCCCGCCCCTCCCCCATCCTATCTAGCCTGGGGGGAAAGGCCGCCAAAATAAGGGCCAGCCCTAGAGGAACAAACCCAAAGCCCACTCTGAAAATTCCTTTCCAGAGCCCTTGGCCCCTGGCACAGCCCATCCCTCGGAGGCTCAAACCCACCTTTGGAAACCACCTCTGGGCTCAGCCTGCCCCCACCTGCTCCACCCAAAGAAATGAACATCCTGCACATCAGGGTGGAAATACATGCCTCAATGGTCCACGGAGCTTATGCATTATGCTATTTTTCAAAGCCCTTACCTTTGACCTGAGTATCGTACTCTGCTATGATCTCCTTATCCTTTTTGAATTTGGCCGGAGACGTCATGTTTTCCTTCTTTCTTCCAAATTCAAATTGTGAATTGATAGATCCACGGGAAAAATCCAACCACCGAAATCAATACCTCCAAGACCGCTTCTCCCAAGGGCAGAAGGGGCCCCCCGCGGTGGTCTCCAGCGCTCCGGGGAGCGCGGGCTGCGGGCTCAGCAGAAGGCTACGGCGGGCACATGCAGACGGTGGGCGCTGGGGCCGGGCGCGGCGGCGGCTGGTTCCTGTGCTAGAGCCCGAGCCGCAGCCTCAGCATTAGCCGGGAGAACTGCAGCGCCCGGAGGCTGGCCTGGGGTCTGACATCAACGACACAGGCAGGGAGTGGAAGTCCTTCCGCACAACATGGTGTGGGGGTGCGGGGGTGTGGACGCGCCCAGCTGTGTCCCCGGGAGGGAGTGGGTGCGTAAAAGGGTGCCGGGGGAGGGCTGGGCGTGCTTCGCGGTTTTTTGTTGCACAGGCTCGAAGATGCTGCAAATCAAATCCCAAACGGGAGCCGCAGCAGCGCAGACTGGATCGGAAGTCGTTTGCTCCGGTTCACTTGCCTGTAAATGCAGGGAAAAGGGGAGGGGGCGATCAGCCCCGGCGCAGATCCTAATCAAGGCGGGGGTGGGGTAGGGGATGTCGTTCCAAGCCCGGCCTGGGCCCATTCATCTCGGCCAAACGCCGCCCGGCCCACAGAGCCCGGCGCGGCGAGGTGCGGAGGAAGGAAGCTCCCTCCGGATTTTGTTTTAAGGCTGGAAGAAAACACTTTGGAGCAGCCGCCTGCGCGGGCTTCGGGTGGGGACTGCGGCGGGAAAGCGGGGCTCCGGGCGGGGACTGCGGCACCTCGGCGGCCTCCGAGCCCCGCCAGCGCTGGGCAGCGGCCAGCCGAAGGGAGCACTCTCGGCAGTGGCTCCGACGCGTCCCCTGACCCACGGCTGGGGCAACTCCCGGGACATCAAAAGGGATCAAAGCCAGGGAGGGACAAGCCACCCGGGCACAACTTTTCTTCCCCTCCCGCCCCTCCTCCCAGTTGTTTTGTTTTTGGTTACTAGCTTCTCTTGGCAGCAAAATGTTGAGGGGGGTGAGACCTGCAGGAAAAAGCCTGCTCCGCACGGGTTACATCCAGGAAAACAATGTGGTCGGCAGAAGCAGGAAACGGGTTAGAGGCGAGGGTCTGAGTCGGGAAAACCCAGGGGCGGGGGACGGAAGGCAGCCGCCGCCTCCCGCAAGTCATGGACGAGAGTGACTCTTAAATGACACCCCCAATATTTTTTGTCACCCATGCCCAGAGATCCCCAGACCCAGGCTGGGGGCGGGGGGGGGGGGAGGAGTGGCGAAGGGCGTCGAGAGGGTCGGTAGGGTCGCAGTCCCGACCCTTCGCACCAGGAGGTGCCTGAGGAAATCCTGCCCTGGCCCAGGCCCGGGAGGCGGGAGGGAAGCAGCGGGAGCGCAGAGTCGGGAGTCCAGCTCCCCACCGTGCGGCACCGGCGACCCTCCCTCCTAGGTCGCCCCTTTCCGTCTCCGCGTCAGGAGGAGGGCGGTGGGGGGGCTGGGGGGAGGGTTCCCGCTGGTGTCTCCCACTTCCCGCGCGGGAGGAAGAGGGAGCCCGGGCGGCGTGGTGGTTCAGGCGGGCAGGAAGCGGGGAGGGGGGTGTGAGGTGGGGTCCAGAGGCTGCATGGGAGCCGGGGATAGATAACCCGAGCTTCTGCACACGTTTGCTGGCGGGGAGAGGGCAAAGGGAGGATTACCTCGGGGAAGGCGTGAGGGGTGATGAGGGGACTACCGTGGCCACGATGTTACCTTGAACGTAAGGATATTAGCAACTTGGGGGATCCGCCATGGGTCTAGGAACGCGAGTGCTTGAAAGGCACCATTGCAGGAGGGCCGGGGGCTGGGACAGGCAAAAAGCCCCGGAAGCAGCGCGGAACAACCATCCTCTGGGTCCTGGGCTGTAACCCGGCTGTCTGCCAGGGCTTGGAGACAGGGGAAGAGGATAAGCCGATGGTTACGGGCGATGCCAACGACGGTTGCCCAAAGGTAGACCCAGGCTGCCTGTGTGCAGAGCACTTCGGGAGGGGGCTGGGTGCCTGCTGCGCGGCGGCATAGTCCCAGGGCAGAGCCCGAAACTGTGCGGTGAAGGGCAGAGAGACGCAGTCTTGAGAAGTATTATGGGCTGTACTGGAAGATTTGGAGAGGGTCGAGGGGGAGGGGGGTCTGAGTGATTCCGGGCGGCACGGCTAGGCGATGCCGCAAGCAGCATCCGCGCCCTCTCCTTCCCGCCCCAGCCCGGGTTTGTTCAGTCAGGGCTCCAGCCCTGCGGCCGGGAAGAGGACAGGGGAGAGGGAAGGAGCCTTTACCTGGCTCTGACGCGACGGGTCTCAGGCCCCCAGCTCCGCTTCCCACTCAGAGATCTCCTCCCCTCTTCCCTGCCACCCGCTTCTACGCAGATCGGTCCCCCTAGTCCCCTGAGGAGCCTCCGCCAACTCCGCAGGACCCCGCCGGGAAGCAGAGCCCACCCCCTTACCAATCGCCGCCCGTTTTCTATCGACCGATGGGGCCTGTAACCAATAGGAATGGCTGATCCCGAAAGAACAGGAATGAAGAGGAGGAGCTGGAGAAACTTTAGAGGTGTGACTAACACCACCGAGGCGTGGTCATAGAGTAAGCTCCTCCCAGGGCTGCCGAGCCCTAAAGTAGAATTAATGGGCGGGGTTAAGATGGAACCAACAGCCAAACACAAACTCTTGAGAGAAAGCACTACCAATTGGACCGGGGTAGGGAGGAGGGGCGTTGCGGAGAATTTTAGCCAATAGAGAGTAGAGACCAGTAGGGACTGTAGAAAGTCTTCCAATTAGAAGCATGAAGGGCGTGCCTTGCCTCTTTCACTGGGGCAAGAGCAGGGTTTGCCCAAGCCCCCCCGGGGCCGGCCAATGGGAGCGGAGGCAGAGCCAAGCTCGGCCAACCAGAGAGCCGATTTCATCTCGGCACCGTTACTGAGGCGGGGCGTACGGCCTCCGGGCCACTAAGATCTCAGCAGGGGAGGGCTCCCGAGTCTTCCAATGCGGGACGCCGGCGAACTCTGGTTCTCCCAATCGGTGCGCCGCGCCGGCAATTCAAACTGACAGCCGGTTGGAAAGGCAGAGAGAGCGGAAGAGGGAGCAAAAAACGACGCGTTCGGTGATAGAGACCCCAGCGCCGACTGAGCCCCCAAAGCGAGCTCTGCCCCTTCCCATCAACACCACCGCGCGCTCCGGAGCAGCCGCTCCGGGGGAGACCTAAGGGGACAGCAGGGGGGCACGAGGGAGAGCTGAGGAGCGGGGACCACGAGAAGCGGCGCGAGAGCCAGCCTGCACGCTGAGGGCTGGGGGCGGCCAGGACCGAAGTGAAGCGGGGACTCACCAGCGAGCGGAGCGCAGGAGGGTCCTGGGAGGACTGAGGAGAACCGGGGTTTGTCCGGGTGGGAAAGGAAAGCTGAGGGGATTTCTGGATCCTGGGAAGAGGAGAAAGATTTCCAAAGAGGAGGCGTGGGTCGGGACCCTTGGCCGGTGATCAGAGGGCGAGGAATTGAAGCGCTCCGAGGGAGGGGCTTAGGAGAGGCGCTTTTACGGAAGGACACAGCCGGAGAAAGCTTGGGAATTGCTACAGGGGCGGGGGCTGAAGAGGAGAGGAGCCTTTTAGACGCGAGACTGGGGAGCCTGTAGAGAGGTACCCCAGGCCCTTTGCAGCTCGCCCCACCTCAAACCCCACTGCCTCCCCCGAAAGTTAAAAGGAAAGCCACCTTTGCTGCTTCGCCCTGTTCCGACTCAATAAATATTACTTTCACCCTCCCACGGGAAACCAGGAAAGAACTCATTTCCTTCCCAGTTTCAGGGCTTAGAAAAGGTCGAGGGCTCGCAATTTGATTTCTGGCCTGGGGGAATCAAACAAGGAAAGGTACTGCTCGTGCTTCCTTTTTCAAAACCCCGCACCGCATCCTTTCCGGGACGCCATGTCTACCAGCAGTTGTAGTTTCGAGGACCGGTGCGTGTCCATCCTGTGTTGCAAATTCTGTAAACAAGTGCTCAGCTCGAGGGGAATGAAGGCTGTTTTGCTGGCTGATACTGAAATAGACCTTTTCTCTACAGACATCCCTCCTACCAAGTAAGTCATGCTAGTGGCGGGCAACGGTAGCCTTTAACTAAATGGGAAAAGTGTATGGTTTGGACCTCTGGGAGTCAACAAGGAGGTTATCATTTTGGTGTTGCAGCCACTCCCAACAGTCTGATGATCCCCTTGGAGTATAACTAAGTGGGCAGACTGTCTGGACAAAGTCTGTGGTTTAGCCAGAGTGGTCAGTCCTGATGTAATGTTTCTAGTTCAATTATAGTCATGTGACCACATCCCTTAAATTGGATATCTGGCCCTGTGTCCCGCCCAACCATCCTAACTCACTGGATCAAGTCCACGACCTAGACCCTAGTCTCTAGGCAAATTCGGGCAAGATTTTCTGTACTGTTAGAAGAGTTAAGTTTTGTATTTTCATCCATACGGTTTTAGGCCAAAAATATTCATAATTTTCTGCCATTACTTGGAATTTGGCAGGCTGAATCAGATCCATTCTCCGTATAATTCAGTGTTCTTTTCTCAATAATCTCTCATAATAAGAGAGAAATAGATTTTTAGGTGATGAAATAGACTTAGCCCCAAAACAATCCTTGCCAGCTATTTCAGATACTATGCATTTGTTTGCATCATTAAATCCTCTTAAATTCTGTTTTCAGACACTTAAGAATTTGCTACCTATTTGGAAAAGTAACCGTCTTATTTTACTCAAATGTACCTTTTTCTAACTCTAAGAGGTATTTTCTCTTTCCATAGGCAGCATATATATGCCCTTATGTAATTTTCAAGATTTAGGCCAACAATCATAATACTTTAAAATGAACTTTGTGATGATAGAAATGTTGAAAATATTTTTGAAATATATGCTTAAAGCGTCAACTCTTCCTTTATTGAAATCTTTTCTGAAGTGGTTTAAGTGTAGAGATGCCTAGTGGCAAAGCCAACAGCTCTCATTTATTGCAAAGATATTGGGTTAATATTTTAAGTATCTGTGTGTGTGTGTGCGTGTGCGCGTGCACGCGCGCACATGTGTGTTACAAAAAAAAACCCCACTAGACAATAAATCTAGAACCTACTATCGCACAGGTTCTATGATTTCTTTTTTGTCTAGAACTTTTTCTTTTTAGTAGCACACACAGAGATGCACACATGCAGACAATTTTTTTAAAAAAATTTAATGTTTATTTAGTTTTGACAGACAGAAAGAGAGGGAGCACAAGTGACAGAGGGGGAGAAAAAGAGGGAGACACAGAATCTGAAACAGGCTGTCAGCACAGAGCCAGGGCTCAAACCCACAAACCAGGAGATCATGACTTGAGCTGAAGTCGGACCCTCAACCTACTGAGCCACCAGGCACCCCCGAAAATATTAACCCATTCATCTTTGCAATAGAGGTGGTAGGCAATAAGATGAGGGCTCAGATCCTGAGTTGTTAGAGGTTAGACCAGAATCTACAATAGAACTAGGTTTTTCTGATTGTCTATTCTTCATAGGGGTTATAATAGTAATGGAGTAACATACTAAGATGTGTGTGAATTAATGAACACAAGATTTTTTAAGTAGAATTTTGTATGTTTATGGTAAGCTCACAAGTATTAACTGACTTACAAAATATACTATCATTCTACTTTAGAGAGTCTCTTTCAGCTCTTTGGGTCTACAAAATTCATGCTAAATCACAACCAAAAATACAAGGATACAGAAAAATTGGAACCCTGTGCACTATTGGTAGGAATGTAAAGTGGTGGTGCTGCTATGGAAAATAGCATGGAAGTTCCTAAAAAAATTGAAAATAGAATTACCATATGATCCAGGAATCCCACTTATGGGTGTATATATGTATCTGAGTGTGTGTTTATATTTGGATATATATCCAAAAGAATTCAGTGCAAGATTTAAAAGATATATTTGGACACTTGCGTTCTTAGCAGCATTATTCCCAAAAACTAAGAGATGGAAGCAATGCAGTGTTTGTTAACAGATGAATGAATAAACAAAATGCAGCGTATGCATGCAATAAACTATTATCAGCCTTATAAAGGAAAGCTATCCTGCCACATGCTACAACATGGATGGACCTTGAGAACATTATACTAAATGAAATAAGGCAGTCACAAAAAAGACAAATACCATATGCATTCACTTATATGTGCTATATAAAGTAGTCAAATTAATAGAAACAGAAAGTAGATAGTGGTTGCTGAGGGAAGAGGAAAATGGAGAGTTGTTTAAAGGGTGTAGAGTTTCCGTTTTGTGATATAAAGAAGGTATGGAGATTCATTGCACAACAATGTGAATACACTCAAGACTTCTGAACTGTATGCTTAAAATGATTGAGTAAATGTTATGTTATATGTGTGTTTTACAACATTTTTTTTAAAAAGCACCTTTGACTATTTCTGCACATTTCCCTCTCCAGTGCAGTGGACTTCATTGGAAGATGCTATTTCACTGAAATCTGCAAGTGTAAACTGAAAGACATCGCATGTTTAAAATGGTAATTTGTGGCAAGATTCTAGATGGCCCTGCATTGGCAAGATGGATGTTAACACCACAGCACAGAGAAAGGTTCACTGGGCTGCATCGAGCACTGGTTATAACCCATGCAATGAGCCATTGAAAAACCATTTGTTACTTAGAGTTTTTTTTTAAAAGGGTCTTGTGGCACATTTGTATATGATTTTATAATTTTTCAAAGTGCCTTGACAAATATCTGCTTTAATTTCCAAAAGAAGTCAATGTAGTTTGGGAAGATAAAACAGTTACAATTGTAAAAATCAGGTTTGAGCCTTGGCCCTACCCTTAACTCTGTATGTGATCTTGAGTAAATTCCTTAAACCTCCAAATCCCTGAACCTCTGTTTCCTTGTTTAATTTACAGCTTAAGAAGATAGACACAATCTTCTAACTTAAGAAGATAGAAATTTAAATATCTTTTGTGTTTACCTTATAGAGTGTTGTGAAGATTAAATTAATTATGAATGTTAAAAGACTTGATAGACTATAAATTACAACACAGATGAAAACTATTATTATCTTTTGAGAGGTAGACAGGCTTAAGTATTATTTGTCCCATTTTAGAGAAAAGAAATTTGAGATTTTCTTTTTACATTTAAATGGGGTTTGGATTACAAATTATAATCCTAATAATTTAAATTCTTATGTGCTAATGATGATTTAAATTCATTCTTTCATTCACTCAAACTATACTAGTATGTGCTAGTCATTGATATGGAGGCTGGAAACAGCAATAAATAAAACAAAGCCGCTGGCTTTTGGACATTATATTCTAGTGGGAAGATGATTGGTCAGTAAGATATTTAAATAAATAAGATATTGAATAGGGTGGAAGGTACTCCAAAGGAAATAATAATAATAATAAGTGATAGAGAATAATAGAGGCTGGGAGAGTGGGTAAGAGCTATCTGAGATAGCATGGTCCAGGAAGACTTCTTATGAGAAAAGTGACATTGGAGTTAAATCCAAAAGGATGAGAAGGAGCACAAGAGAAAATGTTCTAGGTGCAGGGAATAGCAAGTGCAGAAAACTCAAGGCAAGAGGAAGCTTAACGTGGTCATGGAATAAAAAGATGATGGCCAGCGTGGCTGAAACGTTGGGAACATCAAGGGAGAGTAGTGTGAGTAGACTGAGATGCAGTCAGAATCCAGAGAATCTAGAGGAACGCTGTCCAATAGAAATCTACAAGCCACATATGTAATTTAAAATCTACAAAAAAAAAATAAAAATAAAGAAAATCTTCTAATAACCACATTTTAAAAAGTATGAAGAGACAAGTGAAATTAACTTAAATTGTATATTTTACTTAACCCATACAACCAAAATATTGTTTCAACATGTAACCAACATAAAAAATTATTAATGAAATATTATACATTCTCTTTTTTAGTCTTTGAAATCCAGCGTATGTTTTATATTTACAGCACAGTTCAGTCTAGCCAAACTTTAAGTGCTCAACAGCCACACTTTGGATAGCACAGATCTAGACCTTGGTATGAAGGGATTTTTTTTGTTTTGAGTTTTGGCCAATGGGAAGCCACAGAAGGGGCCTTAGCAGGGGAGCAAAATGGTCTGATGTGTCCCTACTAGAATGTTAGCTCCATGAGAATAAGGACTTTGTCCACTGCTGTATTCCCAGCACCTGGAACAGTACCTGACACATAGTAATAGATGCTTGATAAACATGAATTGAATGAGTAAATGAATGAATGAATACGGATGATGATTACAGCCATAGAATTTACTCTTGCAATATAGTCCTACAAATAACTGTCAGTCCCGGTCCAAGAACCACTTGCTTTCGTGTGTTTGCCTTTCAAGCAGATTATCATTCGAAGACATATTTTAGGTAGGCTGGTACCTTTTTTAGTATTTTTTTTTATAGGGCCTCACAAAACTGACTGACTCCCACATCTCACAGGGTGGGAACAGCTATAATAAGAATTTTTACAACCCAAGGTATAAGTATTTCATGTTATCATTAAACAAAAAAGTACTAGCTAACACCTTTCTTGTATGTTTACTCTATTTAATAGTGACCATATAGGTAAAAAAATCTGTGGAAGAGTGAGTACTTATAATCAGATGGGTAATCTTGAAGAGTAAAAAAACTTTTGCAACTTTCTCTAGAAGCTATGGATTTGCTTTATTTCTGAATTCCTTCACAAACACTAAAACTAAAATTAGAGCAGCCAGCTTGTGTTTGGTTTACAGGGGCTCATGCTGTCTTCCTACTCCTCCATCTGTTGAAACAGTTTTTAGGAGCTGGCATAGAACTAGAACATAGAAAAACCCAAATTGCCACAGTCCTGGGGATAGCAAACACCTTTTTACCCACCAATCTGGGTTTATCTAATATATTTCTGTCAACACAACACCTCAATTCTGGGTGTTTTACGGAACACATCACAAGGTTACAGCATGGCGTCTAGAAGCTATCTTCTGAAAGGAGAATGGGTAAAGTAACACCAGCAAGGAAGTGGAGAATGTGTTAGTATTTGACAGTAGCACTGTCAGATTTGACATTACCAGAGTAACCCCCACCCCAAAGATCTAGCAATGGAGGTTGTTAGGAGGAAATGAGGACTCTATATGGTCTACCTATTAACATTAGCACATAAAAATGTTTATATGGCCAGTTATTATGTGGTGTCTGAGTATATTTACTCTTCTTTCTTAGTGGGAACATTGTAGGCTATCATGTGATTGTTCCCTGTTGTTCCTGCCTTCTTTCCTGCAACAATGGACACTTCTGGATGTTTCACAGCCAGGCAGTTTATGATATTAACAGACTAGACGCTACCGGTAAGAAACAATTGACTCAGAAATTCCCCTAATATTTATTTGTCTATCAAAACCTCAGTGAAACTCCCAATAGATTGTTTGAAGATTCCTTCTGAAACCCTCTTACCTGGGTTGAAAGTGTGAAACTTTAATCCTTTTATGCCAAATATTCAGTTAGGGAAACTACTAGCCAAAATTCCTTGCCACTTCTACTTCATTGTTGCCTACAAGAGCTTCAAACTTGGCTCTTATCGGTCTTTTTAAATTAATATTTAGTTGCTCTAAGTTGTTGCATTGATACATATTATAACTCCAGAGAATTTTGGAAGATTTTAGATTTGACGGTCAATTGTGTATGTGTGCATGTGTGTGTGTGTGTGTGTGTGCATATGTGTGTGTAAGAAAGCGGGGGGGCTGGGGGAGGGAGGCTGGGCCAGTGGGGACCTGGGAGGGAGGATGACTAGGTAACCTCTGTATTTGGTGATGTTGCTCCAGGAAAAAAAAAAGACATTTTGACATCTATATTAATAAATTATGATGGAATTTTATTCAAGGGAAATATTTGATGCCATTATGTTATACTAATTATTTAGTAGGAAAATATACAACCGATTCTTTTTTTAAATATATATTTATTTATTTTGGGAGAGTGTAAGTGGGGGGGGGTGGTCAGAGAGAGGAGGACAGAGGATCTGAAGCAGGCTTTGCACTGACAGGCTGACCGCACAGAGCCCAATGTGGGGCTTGAACTCCCCAACCAGATGTTCTACCGACTGAGCCACCCAAGTGCCGCTACAACCAATCCTTAAAGGATATTTACAGAATACATTTTATATTGTCTGCAGCCATTTGGTTTTGTTGTGGCATATGTGTTTCTCTGTCTCGTACCTATTTACACAACAAACCAGGTTGACTTTTAGTGGGACTTTTTTTAGTGGGAACTGAAGTTTGCAGAACTTTATAGAACAAATTTTTTAAAATTTTTTTTAATGTTTTATTTATTTCTAGGAGAGAGAGAGACAGCGTGAGCAGGGGAGGGTCAGAGAGAGAGAGAGAGAGAGAGTCACAGACTCTGAAACAGGCTCCAGGCTCCGAGCTGGCAGTCAGCACAGAGCCCGACACGGGGCTCGAACCCACGAACCGCGAGATCATGACCTAAGCGAAAGTCGGACGCTTAACCGACTAAGCCACCCAGGCGCCCCAGTTTATAGAACAAATTTAAAGAATTCTACTATCCAAGTTGGCACTAACACCCTCAGGTTTTTAAATACATGTTTCAATCTTCTTCATAACTTAAAATTCATTCCTCTTCTTAAGGGTGATTTGTCTTCACAGACTGAAGATCATGAATTGTAAGCTAGGTTCTGAGGGTCTTTAAACCTTCCAATTATACCTGGGTTTTTATAGACTCTGATTTTTTAAAATCACCTGGCATTCAATTATAGCTCTCAACCCATCATTTAGGGGTCTTCATTTCAGACTCTGGGATGTGAAGCAGGCCATTTTTGAGGACAGACGTATCTAAACGCCCCTGAGATACAGGCTCCTAACTTAGGCCTCCAGTTTTATATTTGTGTTGATCATGGGACACATTAAAGGAAGTTTCTGCTTTGATACTATTTTTCTTGCTTCATAGAATTCAAAACACAGGGTGGAGATTTTTCCATTTTGATTTACTTTTTAATATTGGTCAATTTTTCAAAGATAAAAGCCCAGCATTCTTCCATTCACATTGAATCTAATCCATGAGAAACAGGTGTATCACAGGATTTCCTTCCTCCCTTCTTAACAGAGAAAGGAAGGTGCTCCTTCTGTCAGATCCAATCTCTTAGTTTATTTTTTCTCCTTTGAACCAATTGTGCCGAGCTACTCAGGTCTCTGAGTACTCACTCCAAGAATATCAAACTTCCTTTGTAACCCTAATATTGTGACTAAAAGCAAGACTTTCTAGATGCTTGGTATAAAACAGGGTCTCTCATGATGCTAAGACTGTCCTTGAATCACCTGAGTTGGCCGCATCAAGGGACACATACACAAACTTTATGAAATTCTAGAATGTTTAAATGGAAAGGGCCCCAAGTCTGTGTTCTAGGCTTCATGTGTCCACCTGATTTCCCAAAACTTTCCTGAGGATGCTTGAGGAACCTCAGTTCAAATTCTCTGGGATTGGCAAGAGCCCTCAAAGGCAAATAGACTTCATCTCTCCATTTGCCTTTATGGTTCTAATTATCCCTTGGACTTTGACCTAGTAACTCATTATTCTGTTAGCCCATCAAAGCCATATTACCAGCAACAGAATACTGTTCTTTCTTGAGGGGGTGGAGGGGAGCACAATATAATTGTCTATTCTAGACAATGCAAACATACAAAAAAATTACAGAAAATAACATGATAGACTTCTGTATCCCCCTGCCAGCATGAAATAGATGCTAACTTCTTGCCTGATTAGATTCTAGTATCTCAACCAAGAGAGACAGTTGATTGTTTCCACTATGTCAACAATACCACAACGCACCTCCTTGTACAGTCTCCTTGAGCATCTGTACAAACCGGGCAGTTAGAGGAAGCAGTGAGTGATGGGCTCTATTTGCTATATGTGTGTGTGTATATATATATACATAAATATATATGTATATATTTTCTGTATACATATTTAATTCGCACAACAGGATACAGATAGAAAAAGAAATGAGCTAAAGCTATAGATGTGGATATAGGTAAAATTAAAAAACATAATGTTGAATGAAAAAAGCAAATTAGAAAAGATACCTATAATGCCATACTATAAGAAATGTAAATACGTTAAAAAATAATGTATATTGTGTGCACTTGCATACACTTGTAGTAAAGGTAGTAAGAACATCCATGGTTACTGGTAGTAGTTGAAGCAAAATTCAAACCAAATCTCCAAACCCTGGCTCATTCCCTTCCACCACCTGGTCACACTGACAACCTGATAACGTGAGATTTGCTTTCCTTGTTGGACTCCATTGGCTCCCCAAAGGCCAATTAATGTACTTTTCCCCAATTTAGTACTTTCAAGTTCTATATTATAGTACGTGCCCAGAATAAACCATGTCATTATCCTCTATCATGCATCTGTCATGTTCCTACTATATGCCTATGCTAGATTCTTCGATATGAACTCTGACTTTCCTTTCACTCTGAGGCTTTAGGTTGTTGGGGGTTTTTAAATGTTTATTTATTTCTGAGAAAGTCAGAGAGAAAACAAGTAGGGGAGAGGCAGAGAGGGAGAGGGAGACACAGAATACAAAGCAGGCTTCAGGCTCTGAGCTGTCAGTGCAGAGCCCCACATGGGGCTTGAACTCATGAACTGTGACATCATGACCTGAGCCAAAGTCAGACACTTAAGCCTCCCAGACACCCCTAGACTGTTGTTTTGTTTAATGTATCAGCAGCTACAATTGGGTCCTAAAGTTCTACATTGATAGCCTACGGACTAAAGCCCACCTGTAAGAAAGGATTGCAGTTCATATTATAAGTAGCTCTAAAGCCTTGCTGTTTTTAATCACAAAAAAGCCACCAGCTACTTTTGTGCTTGTTGAGGAGATGAAGAGACTTATTCAAGCCTTTTCCTTGTCCCCTACAAAGAGACACTTAATCTAAAATAATCTTGTGAGATCTCTATCCTTAAGAATCATGAAAATAAATTATCAATGTAGAATGATTATGGGATAATATAGCTAGAGGCAGGGTTTGAGGAAATGGACCCTGAGATCTTTTGGAGTTTGAAGATTCTAGAATTCAAGCCCTTACTTCAAACGGCTTAAAAAATGTTTACATCTTAGATGAATAGTATTAGATAACTTTTATCTACAGTACATTCTTTAATATCTTTTCTCTTTACTCTTAACACTATGGTTCCATGTCAGAATGTTAACATATAAAGTTTTCTATAGCATCTTCCGAGTTGTGATAGTAGCTAGTGCTAAGTAATTTTATGATCTTTTCTTTTCAGGTGTAAATTTCCTACTTTGGGGCAACTTGCCAGAAGTAGAAGAGAATACAGATGAAGACGCATTAGATATCTCAGTAGAAGAGTGGATTCGATGAACGGGATTATGATATGTATAATATTGACTCTTTCCTATTTAAACCATATATTAATGGATTGACTTGAAAAATATTAGTGAGGATTTACTACTGATTTCTCCTTTTTTGGACAAAAAAATGAGAATTTGTTCATTTATTTATTTGCTATCTCAGATGAATTACCTGAGTTTAGTTTGAGCTATGGTAGTTCTTTTCTTCTATGGCTTCTCCTTCCTCTTTCTCTCTGCATCCTTCACCCAGTATAGATGTATTCTTAAATTCAGATTGGAGATTATTTCATGTGTCACTCAACTACCTCACAATCTTGGGGAATTTTTCTTACAACTAGATACCAGATATCATTAATTTTACATTCTTGAATAAGGGGCATTCATATACATACTTGGGTATATATCAACCAAGTATAAACATGTGTATAACCATACATGCATATGGCAAGCTCAACAGGGAATTAAAGCTTAACAGGAATTTTTAAAAAAACCAAGCTGTTAGGTTTCCATAGGTACTAGTTATCCTGTGTCATATTGGTGAAAAATCCTTAAAATGCAGCAAGACTTTGTGAATCAGCAAATAGAGTAAATTAAACTTTAAAATATATGGACAAATTCTCTTAATTCCTCAGCATGATGTTAGATAAATGAACTTTATCAACAAAATTATCAATATATGCTGTTTTCCAATATGATTTATTTACCTTCTTCTAAAGTGATACAGTTATTGTGTTATGAAAGCAGATCAACTAAACCTCCATCTTTAAGTTATTCTATTCTCTAGGACTTTTTCTGTAACGAGCAGATTTTAAATGAGTAATCTCACTCCCACCCCTTAAATAGAAAAAAACTAAAGAATTGTTTTGCTTAATCCATTGTACGTTATAAAGAGAATTTTTGTTTTTGTTTTAAGCTGCATTCAGAGCCACACAGAAATAGGAAACTGGGATAGTATTGGATTGTGGTTTTAGGTATAGCTAAAATCAGTATATCGCCTTAGTAATATCTCAGCTCTAAACATTTTGTCAATAGTGATACCAAAACACACTGAGTTGTGGTTTTGTAAATAAAGTTTTATTGTAAAATCGACCAGCCTTCCTTTAATCTTTTATTATAGCCACTTTTCTTACCCAAAAATGTAAAGGTATGGAACACAGGAGCTAACATTTATTGAGTGCTTACTATGTACCAAATCCTGTTCTAAACTCTATACAGGGTGGCAGGATGGCTCAGTCGGCTAAGCATCTGACTCTTGGTTTCAGTTCAGGTCATGATCTCACGGTTCATTAGTTTGCACCCCACACTGGACTCTCCTGTCAGCACAGAGCCCCCTTCAGATCCTCTGTCCCTTTCTCTCTCTGCCCCTCCCCTACTTGTCTCTCAAAATAAATAAATAAACTTAAAAAAATTAACTCTTTACAGACTTAATTCATTTATTCCACCCAACAAACCCATGAGGTAGGTATTATTATTCCTTTTTTACTGATAAGACAGGTGAGGCATAGCAAGGTGAAGCAGCTTGTCCAAGGCCCATAACTGGTCAGAGATGTGGCCAGATTTAAACTCAGACAGACAGACTGACTTCAGAGCTCCTTTTTTTTTTTTTTTAAATGTTTATTTTTAGAGAGAGACAGAGACAGAGCATGAGTGGGGGAGGGGCAGAGAGAGAGGGAGACACAGAATCCGAAGCAGGCTCTATCTAGGCTCTGAGCTGTCAGCATGGAGCCCAATATGGGGCTCAAACTCACAAATGGTGAGATCATGACCTGAGCTGAAGTCGGATGCTTAACTGACTGAGCCACCCAGGCGCCCCAGCTCCTGCTCTTGATCTTTATGCTGTACCCCATATATACCTTCAGACATGAATCAGTTACAATTTTATTTAGCCAGGATACATGCTAGGTAACAACTACCCTAAGAGAGGGCCTCAGTGACTGATTTCAAGGTTGAACAAATTCATAATAGATCATAAGGTAGAAGTGACCTGTACGTATCAACAGAATCTTTTGCTGTAAACGAAGGTGAAAGATGTTTCAGGAATGCTATACCTGGAAAACTTTTCCAAACGTCTTTCACACTGACCAGCAGCACTGGGATGCTGTGGGTGAAGTGGGCCAAATGTGGACCAATTTGGTTTTGAATTTGGGTAGTTTTATTTTTCCTTTTACCTCCCTTAAAGACTTTTTAGAACAAGGTGGCATAATGAATAAGATTTAAAAAAAAGAAATTGATCCTACATCATATACTTCTTCAGTTAACTTGTTTAATTAAAGAAGAAACGTTTAATGCTAGGGGAGAGAAAGTGGTGAGTTTAAAATCCAACAGAGTTCACCTGGTTTCCCTTGTGCTCATACCTTCAAAGGCTGTGGTCGAGGGGCCCTTTGAAGAACAAAACCAAGACAGGGGTGCACTGATTAAAGTAAACCCCAAATGTGATCCCATTCTCCCAACTGGAGAATATTTAAAATTATACAGCTACCTTTTAGCTAACAGGGTTATAGGAAGGTCAGTTCTAAGCTGAAAATGGATTAATAATGTTTTATCTAAAGAAATATATTCATGACACCTTTTTGGACACTTTTTTAATAAAAGCAAATTTAATAAAAGCACTCTGATAAGACCAAAAGCAGAATCACATATGTAGATTTAGCAATAGTTCCTAGGCCTAGAAAATCCATTAATACGTTGGCCCTCTTCTAATATTTAATTCAATTCAACAAACCTGTGTTATGCTTCTATAGTTTTGCCAAGAATTGCACAATGATGGGCTTACACTGCTTCCTGGAGAACGCAGTGAGCTGGGGATTGGACAGTCCTGATGAATCTACCTACTGCATCAGCATAAGTGATTTAACAAATCCGTGCTCAAAGTTCAATGGCACCATAGATGAAAGAAAAATCTCCTGAGTAGTAGGAGAGAGTGGGAGTTGAGAAAGCTACAGACAAGAAATGATCACTTCACCAGGCTTTGAAGTACAGTTTGGGGTTTGCTGGCTGGGATGAGTTCTGGACCGAGAATAGTATAAACAAATGCACAGGAGTTTAAATGTATCTGGTCTATTTGGTAAATTATAAGCAGCCTCCTGCACCTTCCGAGATATGTGGTAAGCCTTAAATAGAAGATGAAGCTACCAAGGAAAGTTGAGATGATGCTACAAAGAATAGTCTACGCCGTGGTTAAATTTAGACTTCCTCCAATCACAATGTGGAGGGATTGAGGTTTTTAAACAGGAGAATAAAACGATCAGATTTAGGATGATAGCTCTGAGGGTGAAATGTAATCAAGCTTAGTTTTCCTAGTGTCCTTTCTTGGATGCATTTAACAACTTAACAGTGGAAATTATATTTATTGCCTTTACCCTAAGAACATACATAGATCATTAAGTTCCCTGATGCTCTTGACTTTCATGAAACCTCTGATCTGCAATGAGGCACCGCCTTTTTTCCCCTTCTTCCATCCTGTCATTCCTCAAGTTCAAGGAAGGGACAGGGAGTCATCAACTGACCCACTATGGCTTTTTTTTCTTCTCTATATTTTTTTCTCACGTGAGTTTCTCAACCTCAAACTCAGGCTCTGTTGAGGTATCTCCGGTGGGGCCTAATCTTAAAGCCATAATATTTTAAATAATCCTGGGCCCTGAAAGCCAGGTCTTTAAATATTAATAATCTAGGGAGAGTACTGTACCAAGAATTACTCTTTTGACCTCTGAGTCACACATGGCTGATAAAGAATAATCTATATTGTTTTTCCTTTGGTGAAGAGGAAGTGACCATACTCTAGAAATCATGATACATGAAACAACTAACTAATTAGAACCTAAATGGGGAGCGGGGAAAGTGAAAGAGAGTAAGGCTCAAACAGTCCTGCTTCAGTGATAAATTATTCGATGAAGGCTTTCCCTATTTTAACATTCATGCTTATAAAAGGAAATAGTTTCCTTTTCTGCTTTTTTTTTTTTTTTAACTTTAAAAGCAGCCTAAACCATAGTTTCTTTCTTGCCTGGTATTGAGCGTATGCCAAATCTACCCTAAACTGCACAGATGGAAAAAATTAGTCTATGTCTGTGGTACCTCTGGGGTTGAATATTTTTAGTACTTACATCTTTAGCTAAAGATTCTTTCTTCCAAACTCTCATAGAATCATTTTATTGTCATCCAATGGATAAACTTACTGAGATAAAAATTAATAACATCATGTGTTTGCATCTCCCTTTATAAATTATTGTGATCTTTCACATATACCTTAATGTAATCCTCAGAATAACCTCAGGAGATATTCCCATTCGACAAACTAAGAAAGAAAATCTTAGTCTCAACACCCACAGAGTTAAAAGAATTTAAACTTGAATGTGAATCTTCTAATCTTAGTTTAGGGTTCTTTCCTCCCTTGCTAGCTTACCCTAAACCCAAGGTCTATTTTTTCCCTCACTAGCTATAAAACTTAGGGCAAATTCTTTTTTTTTTTTTAATTTTTTAAATGTTTATTCATTTTTGAGAGAGAGACAGAGTGTGATTGGGGGAGGTACAGAGAGAGAGGGAGACACAGAATCTGAAGCAGGCTCCCAGATCTGAGCTGTCACCACAGAGTCCCACACGGGGCTTGAACTCACAGACCGTGAGATCATGATCTGTGCCAAAGTAGGTCGTTTAAACCACTGAGTCACCCAGGCACCCCATAAGACAAATTCTTTTTTACTTTCAGCCTAAAAGCCTAGCTATTGTCATTAATTAACCCATCCAACAAATATTTATTGAGTGCCTACTGTGGAAAAAATAGAAGCTGAGAACACAGAACTAAATTAGACAAAGCTCCTGCTGTCCTGCGAAACTAATATTCCTCTGAAGAGGAGGAAGAAAGTAAGGTGACCCTTTTGGAGGGTTTACTACATGGCAAGAACTATTCTAAGGGTTTCACATGTACCAACCCTAAGAAGTAAATCTGATTAATATACTCACCACACAGTTCAGGAAACTGAGATATAAAGAGGCTAAGGAACTGGCCCAACGTCACACAGCTAGTAACTGACATCATTCTGAGATTTGAAGGACTCAGAATTAATTACCTTAATGACCATGTTTCCTTTTTGGTTTTCACCGTAGTTGTCTTCCAACTAAAAACATCAAGTTTTCCATTAACAAGCTTCCTGCATACATCTCTCTCTATTAGACCTGAGTTGATTTGTTTGCGATTCTTTTAATTAAGATGGCGACAGCAGCATCTCTCTTCTCAGTAAGGAAGGGTCAGTGTGCCTGTACATGATAAGAATGCTAGTCTTATGTACTAGGGAAAAAGAAAAAAGAACTTATGCAAAATTCAATTTCCAAAAAAAACAAAAAACAAAAAAACAAAGAAACAAATTCAATTTCCAGCTTTGCTGCACTTCTATCTGGAAATGAAGTCTTTTTCGCTAATACGGATTTTATCTTCCAAGCAACAAATGTTCATTTAGGAGTATATACCTGTTCCTTAAAATTTTGTATGTCTCAAAAATAAAATAAAATTTTGTATGTCTCAAATATCTCATAATAAAAAAGTGAATTAAATGACAACCCTTTGCAAATTACTCTAGTTTCAGCCTTCCTTATAAGCTTGTATTTAAAATCTGTTTATATGGAATTTCAGATACAGCCTTACCTCAAATGAGCACTACTGAATCTTCGTAATGAAATTATGTATTCATTTTGAAGACAGCAAAAACAGGTATTAAATCCATATTCAAGTTTTGCCTTAACTTGTGTAAGAGTGGGATGGCAAATATCAAAAGATTAATTGGATCCACCAAATATGGGCACCATAGAAGTTTGCCCACCAGAACCCATCTCTACACCTCTATTCACACAACCCACTTCCTCTGGAAAAGGGCCCATGGTACAAGAAGGCAGATGGGAATGATTCACTTGGGGAAAGCTGTACCCAGAATATCAAAACAGTTTGCTTTCTGTCTCTATATCCTTGCCATAATTTTTCTACCCAAAGGAACCACCTGCTATTATAGCTATGACACCTGAAAAGCTTTTTGTATATTGCAGGAGATTGCTCATGTGTGGGTGGATTTTCAGGCTGTTCAGTGGTATTTAAAAAAAA